GTCCCTTGTTGTTGTTATCAGCGGTAAGTTCACTATCATCTGTAGACTCACTGTCTGATTTTTGTGTGACAGCCGAATCTTTCTTAGCGCGGTAAATATGTCCGCATTTCTCGCATCTACAAATTTATGTTATTAATTTTTTAAGTGGAAAAATACCTTTTATAAATCTTGCATATACCCTTTTCTATATGTCTTTTAAAGCAATCAGGATTTTTAAAGGTGTTTGCACATTGTAAACATTTTTTTGAAAAGCCTTCAATCACCTTGCATGGGAATCCAAAGCCAATCCCACAACATCGAGGGCATTTAGCAATACATTTATTTCGATGTGCATATTTCTGTGTGTATGGCGCCTCACAATCAATACAATAATATGAACCAAAGAGCGCATTCAGGTTTCTAATCCCATAATAATGTTCTCCTTTTAAATATAGAGCAATCTCGTGTTCAGCCCTTTCAGATCCCTTCCATATTGGCCGGATTCTTCCTTGTTCGCCGAATACCGAAATTCTGTACTTTCCAGGAAAACTTAAATCCAGAAAACGTTGTATCAAGGGTTCTTCAACTGTGTAATGAGCAGCGTAAGTAGGATAGCGAATTCCATATCTTGGCATTTGCTGTAGCATTTCTTTAATTAATAGTGTTCGCCCGCTTTTTGCTGCCTTATTTTGACCGTTAACGAGCCTTTGAAATTTTTTATTCTCAACTGTAGTCTTTTCTAGATTGACATGCTTTATTTTAAGCTGAACAGCAAGAAGCAGACAATGAATATTCGCTGGAGGGTTAAGGTTTTCGTTATGGACCTAAATATTCAACTTTTAGTTAATATAAAAAAGTTTACAGGTATCAGATTGTTTAGATCAACTCCTTGCTGAATTTCTCTCGATCTCCTTCCCGTTCCTCCCTCGCCTTGTTTTATTAATTCAAGTGCCTCATCATGAGAAGGCCCCATAACAATCTAAATCAAAAAATATATTTATAAAGGAATAATATTCACCTCAATATGTATGGGCTGGCTATATAGGGAAGGTCTCCCCATACGTTTCCCACTCTGGTCGACGGCGTCAAATTGTTCCATAACAACTTGAGGGGTATTTTGTGCCAGTCCTCTATATGGTATTTGAATGGGTTTTTCAAGAACGGAACTTCTTATAATTATTGAACATTTCTCAGATTTTTCACCCGCCGCTTTGTCGGCCTTTGCAATAAAATGATCTATCAAATCTTCTAATAGTTTATCGCTGCCATTTGGAGCATTATCGACATTCCTCACTGTGAATACGGTTCTAAAATTTTAAATTTTATAAAAATATTTTTAATAGACCTGAAAACTCCTATTTTAAATTTTGAACTTTTGATGTTCTCTGATACGGCTTCTTTATAAAAGTGATCTATGGAATAATTTCCAAAATTTCTTTCATTCATCTAAAATTCTAAAAATTTTTCCATTATTTTTTTAAATATTATTGCGCAATTAACGCTAAAAATTATTTTAAACGATAATATTTTTTAATTTATTTATTAGAAAAACAACATTTGGTTAAAAACTATCGCTTGCTTGAATATCTTTTACCATTCATCTTCTTCTGGTATCTTGTCCGTAGTAGATAAATAATTCACAGTATCAGGCATAAATATTGACACATTGTCTTGGATTGTGCTTGCCGATGTGCCCTCGCCTCCACGTGCTAAATCCTGACCCTCTGGTGTCTCAATATTAAGTTGAGATTCCAAACGTTTAGTTATGTCGTTCATTATTATGACAGGAGAATTTTCTAAAAATATGAATTACTTTTAAAGCTGAACAAGATTAACTACCTCTTTTCTTCTTTGAGGGTATATAATTTCTGTAGCTGCAAACGTCTATTGCAGATTGGAGATCAATTTGCCCCCAATATTTGCTATTTGTATGCCCTAGCGCATAATACAATTCATTTTTGACGACGTCAACAATGGCCTTTAATAAAATTTTCAAAAATTATTTCAATAAAAACCTGTCTTCCCATTGCGTGTCTTTCCTTCAAAAAATGCTCGTGTATTTTGCTTAATGAAATTTGCGGATATCTATTACGCTGATGTTGAATAAATGCGTTGTAAAGATCCGACTTAAGCTGTTTTTCGTCATACTCCGCATCGAAAAGTTGCTCAAGTTGTCTAGGCAGACGTCTACGTTTCTCCTTGAGCTCCTCAAGTGCAATATCCGCTACATGTTGATCCATCTGAAAGTTAACGTAAAATTAAAAAGAATAAACGAAACCTTTTATTTCACAAAAGAGTTGTAAAATTTGAGTAATAGATTTGTAGCTATAAAGAATTCCGAAGATGAATTAGTAAATTAAAAGATAAAATTCGATCAAACGAATGAAAAATAAAATTTCCATTAAAAAATAGCCTTTATTCAACAAATGTTATAGTTATCAATATTCATTTTTTCTTATTAAAATTGCTAAACATATCAAAAGTTTTCTGTTGGTAGTCCTTATTGATGTCTTTACAGGCCTCGCAAATCTATAAAATATTAATTATTTTCTTAGAATTTTTTTGAAAATATACCATGAAACTCAGCTCATATTTTTCCCCGCATTTTTGCAAAAACATGTCACTGGCCAAGGACCTCTGAAGACTAATACATTTATCGCACTAAAGTTTTGAAATAAATCGTAGTTAATATGACATTTTTACCTGATGCAAAATCCAACAATATTTCAATAAGCTCAATAGTTTATAATCAGTTCCTGAAGCAATATTTGCGCCGCGTCGAAAGTACAACACACCGTCAGCTTAAAATTTTTTCAATAATTTCAATTTTTATAATTTTCTTACATTTTGAAAAGCTGGACGATTGTTCCTCAGGCGTTTCAAACATTTCCTTGAAACCTTTTAAAAATTTTTAGATTATTTGATAATTATGTAATACCCCAAGAAAGAGCATAAAATGACCCTAGGTTTATATTTTTGTCGAGGTCCTCTGCGCACAATTCGAATGTAAGCATAAGATTTATAGCATTTCCTGCTTTGTAAAGAAAATTTTGTCGTTTCTTCTGCGTTTCTCGACAGTCGTTGCATTGGTGAATGAAAATTCCTTGGCGCGGTATTTTAAGCACCTGAGCACGCTTCAGCAATCCATCTGGAACTAATGTTTCGGCACGTTGTTTACCTAAAAAATATTTAAATAAAAAATAAATTACTTACGTTCGATTCGCTTTTGCTTGTATTCCTCTTCATCATCGCCCAAAGAAATAACATCATTAGGATCTGGGTCATCAGACTCGTCCTCTTTTTCATCATAATTCATCATTGCATCAAGAATAGCCTTAGGATCTTCTTCCTTTGAATGTTTTACATTTTGATCCTTTGCACGTTTGATAACTGACTAAAATATTAACTTTAAAGTTAAAAACAAAAATTTCAAACCTCAATGACTTCATCATATGTGTCTCGATGAACATTTTTAATCATTTTATTTGGCTTGCTTTGTGCCTTCTTTGCAGTCGGTGCCTTGATTGAAGAAGACCCCGAACTCAAGGTTGAACTCGATTTTTCTATTGAACGTTTTCGTCGCGTCTCGGCAGCTTGCTTCTTCTTTTTCTGTTCTAAGATAAATGCGCGAACTTCTTGAATTTCCTCTGCTGTCATTGAAACTAAAGGAATATTTATTCAAAAAAATATTTAATATTTACCGTCCAATGCAGAACCTTCTTGTGAAGTTTTCAACTCATTTTCCTCGCATCCTTTATCGCCGCACATCTCCGCCCCAATATTTTCATCAATCATAATAGGAGCCTCTGCAGTGCCTGTAAATGATAAGCATTTTATTAAATTGAATAATAATATGATTATCATTTACCATTATTGATTGTTGTCTCGACACTTTTTTCCATCAGAATTTCTTTAAATGAAGTAATATGCGCAACTAAAATTGAATTATGAAAAGAAAAAATTAAACTATTTAAAAATTATATAAACAGGAATTTAAAAAATAAAATCAAAATTAGGGCAAAATAAATTAAAATTTTTATAAATATTAAATAATCTAAATACAATCTTAAAAAGCGAAAAATTTAAGGTGGAAAAATTAAAAGTGTTTAATAAATTATTTTAAAAATTTTTTAAATTTTTTAGTGGAAAATTTCAAATGTTAAATAAAATAATTTTAAAACTTCAATTATAGAAGAGGGTACAAGGAAATTAAATTAAAGAGTGAAATGTTTAGGGAAGAGGGGTTAAGGCTATTATTAAATGTTGCATGGGAAAGCAGAATGATTTTTAGGCCTTTTCTGGCCGCCTTTTATATGGGTCCTGACAGCCCAAACTTTGGCCTAGAATGATTAATTACCCGCTCATATCCATATTATTTGTTTATAATGAAATTACTGTTACTAAATTGGGCACAATTTTTGCAAATAATCAGCATTTGGACATGATGATTCACTTTATTTTGCACTTTTTATTTTTTATAAACATATAATCACAACTTTTGTGCAAAAATACATTAATCAATTAATGTATTTTGCTCCATCAGAATATAAACATTGCAAATGGACAAAATTTTTCCTATATAAACACCTCCGACATTTCTACTCTTAGTCATTTATCAATTTCATAAAAATATACCATATTTTTCCTGTTATTATTTTTTGTTTTGGCGTATTTTAAAGATTTAAAAATTGGCGTTTGGCGTATTTTAAAGATTTAAAAATTGGCGTTTGCGTGTTTAAAATTTGAGGTTTTGCGTGTAAAGATTTGAAAATTTAGCTTTTGGCGTGTTTAAAATATTTGAAAATATTGTGGTTAGATTCTAAAAATTAGGCTTTAGGCGTTTCTTAAAAATTTTAAAATCAAACGTTTGGCGCGTTTAAAATTTGAGAATTTCGTGTTTAGCTCGGCAGGCGAAATACTCTTTTCGCCGATTGTGAATTTTTATGCTATAAACAATTTTAATTTTTGTACTGTTGTCACACATACTTTTAAAATGTATAACTACTTATTTTTATAGCACACATTTCTGCAAAGGGTCAGATTAACTACTTATGAATAAACATCCCTGTTAACTACTTATACTCTACATTCTTTGTACTTAAGACTAAACATCTTTTTAAATCGAAATTTTTACCCTGAAAACAATGTCATCCCTTTAAATGTAAGCGAATATCACGCAAGTAAGTAAGGAAAAATCCTTTCACACAATAATTAGTAATTAAATTTAAATAAATTTATTATATTTTTCGAATTAATATGAAATATATATTAAAATTTTGCTTTTAGCCAGAACTGTAAGTAAGTATGTTCTTCTAGAAAACGAAATTTTCCTACTTTTTAACATCCTTTATTAAAATTTGTAATTGTTCTTTATCATACATTGATAGCTAAATCATTTTTAGATCGAAGATTCATGCATATTCTAGAGAAAATTCTGCTCCATATACTGTAAGCAATAAGAGTATATCCCAACAAATAAAAACTCAATAAGGATGTTCAAAAATCTATACAGAAATATAAATACCTAAAAAATTACTAATAAAAGGCAAACATTTAATCTCAAATCTCGATTCAGCATTAATTTTTCTTAAAAAAGGGTCAGATTTTTTATTTTTTCATTTCCATTTTTTTACCATTTCCTGAAAAAATTTAATAATTAATCCAAAAAATAAGAAGAATTTTAAAGAAAAACTTCCATTAAAAAGCAATTAATTTATAACTTCTTCCATGTCGCTGCCTAGAGAATTAAAGAGGATAAATTTTAATTTATAAAATAAGAAATCTCAAACATATACTCGCCCTTTCAATCATTCAGCAAAGAAAAAGACGTGGTAATTTTAGATAAAATTCTTAGGCCATATCCTGAATTCAAAAATTTTTAAAATTAGCTTTTTAATCAACAAAAGGATCGAAAATTTATTTTTGGAAAACCCCCCCCCCCCCCCCTTCAAAAGACAAAAATCCAATTTTTGAACAGTCATAAATACTAACTGGATCCAAATAAGCAATGTTCATCAAAAATTCAGGCCCTGTACTTTGAAAATAAATTTTAAAAATTTTCAACAAATTTTTAAACTACATACAAAGCCCTGAACAATTTATTTTCACGAGGGCCCTGGGACTAATATCCTCCAATTCTGGCCCCCCAATTAATATTTACATTTGAGAAGAAATTGTTTTGTAGTTGCAAAAAAGTAATAAATATATAAAATAAAAAATAAATACTTGATTTAAAATAAAGAAAATGAAATAAATAATTGAACTAATAGAATTAATTTAATTAATAAAATTAATTTTGGTTTAATAGAATTAAATAATAAAATTTTTATTTAATTACAAAATTAATTTAATTAATGAAATTAATAGTATTAGTGAAAAAATTTAATTGGAAAATTTATGTAATTAAAACATAAATTAAAAATTTTATTTGCAAAAAAGAAACAAGAAATTAAAAATTTTATTTAAAAAAATAAAACTTTAAATATTTATTTAGTAAAGTAAAAGAAAAATTAACTGCTTAAATACTATTTTATTTTTAAATAGGCCAAAAGTTAATCTCAATATGTAGTGAAAATTTTTTATTTTTTCCATTAATTTCTAAAAATAGTGTGTAATGAGTGTTTAGTGGGAGTGTAGAAATGAGTGGGAGCGTGATTAATGAAAGCCGATCACCCCTTTTCACATTTTGTGCCCAATCACTCTTTCCATTATATACACACACACTTACTGCACAATTGCACTCTATGCCAAAATTTAATCTAAATATGTAATGGAGAAATTTTTTATTTTTTCCTTAATTTATAAAAATAGTGTGTAATGAGTTTTAGTGGGAGTGTAGAAATGAATGGGTGAGTGATTAATGAAAGCCGATCTCCCCCTTTTCACTTTTTGTGCCCAATCACCCTTTCCATTATATACACACACACTTACTGCACAATCGTTTCACTAACACTTTTCCTTTACATATTGAATAGCCTTTTGGTTTTTTGTTAATAAAATAAATATTTCATTTATATTTTTATTTTTTAAATAAATTTCTTAATTTCTCTTTTATTCTATTAAATAAATATTTAAATTTTTATTTTTTTAAATAAATTTTCTAATTAAATTTTTCATTACTACTATTAATTTCATTAATTAAATTAATTTTGTAATTAAATAGAACATTTTTTTATTTAATTCTATTAAACCAAAATTAATTTTATTAATTAAATTAATTCTATTAATTCAATTATTTATTTTATTTTCTTTATTTTATATCACTTATTATTCTTTATTTTATATGAATAGCTGCTTACTTTCTAAAAACTTCAAGTAAATATTTTTGATGCCCGTTGGTAACCTTTTTTCATATCAAAAATTTAAAATATAGAATTTTTAGTTAATAAGAAAACCTTAAACATTTTAGATTTATTAGAAAATCTGTAGCCTTTATTTCGGAAACCCTTTAGTGGTTAATTGAACACTTTAATTAGTTTTTCTAAAAAATTTTAAAACTTCCATTTCAATATCTATTTTCAA